GCACCTCTTGGCATGATGTAGAGGATTTGTATGAGATTGATGCCTTTTGTTAAAATACACAGGCTATTGAATCTCTAAAGATAGCAGATGTGATACTTGTGTGGAAAGGGAGTTTATACTCACATAGTGGTCAGTACTGGGTCTTCTCTAAGGTAAGTTCGTTGTATTTCTGGGATGTGTGTATGTCATCTGGAAATCAGACTAAGCTGATGGGTTGTTTTCACAATTAGCAGGTTGCTTTTAATTTTTCATGGTCATATGTAGATTCTATGATATAGACTCCATATGAATGTTCTGAAGCCCAAGTCTATTGAAAGAGTGAATGTGTAATGGGAGGTTGAGCTAGGCAACTTGAGAAAGAGGATCAAGTTTTATTTCTGAGGTGAAGTTTTCTTTCAGGCCTTGCAACCACAAGCACTACTGTTGCTTTCCAGAGGTGCTATCGTTTCTTTCTAACTGAGAGCTTTGTATTTGCAAAGCAAGTTGCCACTTTTAACATTCCCCCTTTGCCTTTCAGGTGAGACCCAGGCTGAAAGGTCAGGGTGAGTTTTGATAGACTGTTCAGAGATGCATGGGTCTAGCTGGTGACCGGCAGGTTAGCAGAGAGGATGAATGTGTGGATATGCGTTTTGAAGGATGTCTTAACAGGCCACAAGGAATGTTTCTTGAGGGGAAATGGTAAACATCCCCTTTATCAAAGTTCAAATCAAGTTGCTCCATAAGGGAACTATATTAATATAATGGGGACTGACTTGCCCTGAACTGCTATTCTCCTGAAAGCAGAAATGCTGGCATGTCATGGAACTCCAGTACTTCCCACTTGCCATTATCTGGTACATAAGAATGAGCAGAAGTATTAAAAGATGACAGCATTTTAAATAAGTTCTTTCTCAGGGACTAGCTTCCCTGTGCTTAAAAGATTCACAAAATAAACCAGTGGTGTTATATAACTATATCCCTCCCCCATATCAGTTTCACACCTGCAAAGCAGAAATAAAATATTTTTAAAATAGAAATGCCTGCAAATTAGCAGAGAAGTACAGAAAATCTTTTTATCTAATAATGGTTAATATTGCCCACATTTCAAGCTGTCTCCCATCCACTAAGACACATACCTCAGCACCCTTTCAAGCAGATTGCAATCCTTTAGCAGTCTCACACAGTTACTTCTGTTGGGACCTTTACAGAAGAAAGACCTTTCTTTCTTTCTTTCAGTGTTTTGGACCTGTAAATTTAAGTCTTTCTTTTAGGATCTGAAGCAAAAATGAGAATGCATGAACAAGAGCCAGATCAATATTTGAACTGTATTCCTCCATTTGCCTTTGTGGGATGCTCAGTTTCATAACCCTGTCAATAGCTAGCTCACTTGTTTATGTCACAGAAGATCAGCTTCCTTCTAGGTCTAAGCCATGCCAATCTGTTAAGCTCAGGGAACAGACAGGTGAACAAGAATATAACGAACATCAAGAGAACTGCTATGGTGTTTCACTTTCTTGCATAATTGGCAGTAACAATAGTTAAATTGGGTATGGAGATATTTGGCTGCCGTTTTGTGGAGCATCTATGGTGATCAGAAATGTTGAGTGGCACATTAACAGAATAATCTTGTGCATCATTACTCAGAAATAATTAATTCATGTTCAGTGATGTTTGCTTGCATGTATCTGTGGAAAGGATCACTGTACCTGCAACACATAGATGTTTTGAATGGTTTTCCTGAGAATAAATGGTAAAATATACTTGCACAGTACTACCCACACTTGCACCTGGCAACATAGTAAAATGATGCAATGAGTTGTCCAGCACATGATTTACACATCATGCCACGTAGACTTAACGGTTTTCAATAATTTTGCTTACATGGCAGGGCAGATTCTGTGAAACCAGAACATGGTTCCATTTCTGGAACACAGAATAGAAATGCAGGGAGACGAGGAACCTATAGAATATTTTCCATCCATCTTTGGCATTGCTTATAACACTCCCCCACCTTCATTTCCACCTGAATTGTTCTCATTTGTATGTTACCTATTATGAAAGATATTGCGTGGTAAGAATAGGCATGGAAATTTTGGATTTTTTACAACAACCAGAATTTAACAGGAATTCCCTCATAATTCCTTTCCCAGATAGAATTCTGCGAAAGTTTTACTTAAAAAAAAAAAACCTGTCCACAGAGAAATTTCAGGATCCTAACCTGTTCCTTGCTAAGGCTCTCTCAGCAGACAGCCATTAAAGCACAGGGAAGAACATGAGTGGAGATTTCTAAGCTCCATGGGGACAGCAAAGCATCAGGGCAGCCATTCTCAACCTTTTTTTTGGCCACATCCATAAGCACAATATGAAGGAAATATAGGCAGAGTCAGGATTGTATAAGTCACATAACGAACCTTATAAAGTGATGTGTGAAGAATTGTTTCCAGTCTGTGGCCCTCTTCAAGTGTGCCAGGAGGGCCCCCCCGGGGGCCAGATGGCCGCTGTTAAGAATGGCTTCATTAAAGGATGGTAATTTCTCTGTTCATTAGGCTCTGTAGAAGGTGCCTCTCAAAAAATTAACTTCCCCATGCTTTAATAGCCATCTGCAGAGAGAGCCTTGGTGAGCAGCAGGTGAGGATCCTGAAATTCCTGTGAGGACTGGGAATTTTTAGATAAAACTATCAGAACTATAGCTGGGAAAAATCCTCCTGAATTCTGGTAACAGTAATGAAAAAAATCCAAGTAAGGAATGCATACATACATACACACACAAACAAACACACACACATTCATAGAAAGAGTGTTTGGAAGTGTCCTGGGTAAGGGAACCAGACATCAGATGTTTGGGTACCTCTTTATTCCTAGGAATACCTTCCTATCAGCTACTGCTCCAGTTGCCACAGCTAGCCTGTTAGAGTTACAGACAAGCATTTACATATCACCGTAGTTAAAGATTGCCTGGGCTAGATAGTAAAGACTGGAGAACACACTTGATAATGTTGTTCAAACCCTTGTGTGAACAGCTAAACAGCAAGATACATAGATGCTTACCAGAATATGTGAAAGCACCCTAGATAGTGGTAGAAAGCAGCTTCTGTGATTGGAATCTTCCACTACCATCACACCCACTAGTCCTAATGTAACATAGAAACAACTCTCTAGATCATTTTTGTTGCATAGAAGACTGAATGAAGTTCATTTTTTCTCCTTGACATATAGACTTAGGTGGCAGTCTCAATTTATCCTTCTAAATAATGTAGGTAGCATCAGTTGATTTCACATTAGTTTCCTTTCTTTACAATGATATGAAAGCTGAATTTGACCTCTGCACCTTGAAGTGAGAAGAGCAGAGCCAGCAATTTTAGTTTCTGTTCCATGCTGCTTTCTCTGGCAAGAGGAAATGGGTTCAGGCTTTGATAAGCAGGCGGGTTAATGCTTTTTCTCTTGATCCAGGTGTGTTTGAATGTATGTTTTGTGAATAAAGATCCTCATCTACCATCTCTGGAATCTACTCTGGAAGCACCAAGAAAGTCTTTTCTGCCTGGAAAGTATTAGAGTTTTGCTCCTGACAAGAGTGCCAAGTCTGCTATTACAGCCATTCTATATTGTTTGCCTTCATCATTGTTGTTCTTACTCTCTCCACAACTTGTATATGAGATTTCAGGTGGAGACAACTAAACAGGGTGCAGGTATTATTCCTAATGGGCAAGATAAACAGCTTAATCTTGTAACCATTATTCCAGCCACATTTGACCCTAATGTAGTATGGGCTGAATTTAAGCTTAAACATTGTTTAGATTCAAAGCAGGTTATGGCATTTACTCAAGCTAACTCATTTGTCTTATTGGTGTGTTGACTATTGTTTAAATCAAGAGTGGCCAACTGGTCGCTCAAGGCTCTCATCTTAAATTTCAGAAGCATTGTGCTAGAAATCAGTTCAGAGTTTAGGCAAACAGTCTGTTCTTTGAAAAGCCCCGTGGGCAGGAAGAAGATGGGATGTATGTAAAAGGGGGACAGAGGGACAGGGAGATAGAGATGTCAGAGAAGCACAAAACGAAACAGTGGTAGTTGAATAGAAAAAGAGAAAGGGGACCTTTTCTACTTCTGTCTTTCCTCTATCTACCACTGGCCTCTACCACACTCACTACTTGCCTGACTTGTTATCTCGAATGCTATCCTTGTCTGAAAAAAGTTTCCCTACACCTTGTTTAAATGTAAGGTAAAGCTGTTTATTACAAATAAGAAAAGTTGTTTTTTGGAGGCAAAGAAATACCTCTCTGTGTGCAAACGTTGTAATCCTTTCAGTCTGTAGATTTTTCAGATTTAATTATTCACATATTGTCGGGGAGCAGATGTTTAATTTTTAGAGTGAAATTCATCAATACGGGAAGAATAGCAGTGTATGGAGATTACAATTAGTTGTGGGGAAAGTATTTATAGCTAAAAGATGTTGCTACGCTATTTCACCTGGAAGGATCTGCGTTCTTTAAAAACTTTTCATATTTGGTGGAAGTGGATGTTTTACTTGAGAAATTAATTGGAAAGATGCCAGTAATGTGTCTTCCTGTTCATTTGTAAAGACTAAATATAATAGATGCCATTTATCAAGAACCATGCGTGCTTAATGGTTGTTGTAACTGATGTCTAGTGGACAAGTGTCTTGCTACATATTTACTTCTCATGAGAAGAGAAGACACCCTGGAAAAGACCCTGGTGTTGGGAAAGTGTGAGGGCAAGAGGAGAAGGGGACGACAGAGGTTGGACAGTGTCACGGAAGCTACCAACATGAATTTGACCAAACTCCGAGAGGGAGTGGAAGACAGGAGGGCCTGGCGTGCTCTGGTCCATGGGGTCACGAGCAGTCGGACACAACTTAATGACTAAACAACAGCGACACACTTACTTAAAAGAAAACTTCCTGTTCCCATGTTCTTTATAAAGTACAGGTCTTAGCACAAAACAAGAAGGAATATTTGTAAATATGTTGTCATAATCCATATCATGTATGTCTTGTTTTTAAACAGGGGCCTTGCAAATTGAAAACAGTGAGGAGTCGGACCAAGGCAAATATGAGTGTGTCGCAACGAACAGTGCAGGGACACGTTACTCCGCTCCAGCCAACCTTTATGTGCGAGGTAAAGTTTGAGAAGGCAAGCCTGCATACTTATCTCCCTTCTTTTCCATGGCCATTGCCTCTCAAATGACCTATGGGAAGTGGCAGCGGGGTAGCAGGATGATGCCTTGTGAACAGTGTACTTAAATGCCCCTTCAGTCTATGAGTTCAAGTTCTGGAAAATCCACTTTGGTCCTTTTTTTTAATGGGAGTGCAGCCAGACTTCTTTGTGATCAAACAAATTGAGTCAGTCTCAGAGTCTGTCGTGATCATGGTGGGGAGAGAGATATATATGTAATTATTTATATGGGGGTAGGTAGTGTTTTATTTTGCTTTTATTTTTGTAAAGAAGAACCTGTGTTTGGGGCTGTTTGAAATTAGTGGGTTTCTCTTCCCAGGCAGGATTGTTTGACATTCAGGTGAGCAGGTACCTTATTTTGACTCTGGAATAACATCTTAACTTCCATAAGTTGTGTTGGTCAACTTCTCAGCAACCTGGATAATTGCTGCACCTATTAACAATACTTCAGTTCTTGCTGAGGATCAGCTGGTTTCTTGCACAAAGCCATTTTACAGACTATTTTCGTACCTTTCTGCTATTCCCAAAACTCAGCATAGGAGGGGACTTTACTTCTCCATTAAATCTGATATTGAATTTTGTGTTGGAGGGCAAAGAGTCCAGTACTTCATTAAAAACTAGTGAATTTTCTATGGGTTTTTACAAAGGAACAGTGTTTATCCCCTTTGGTGAGACCTTGCATAAGTCAAAACTTTGGTGTTAGACATCCCTTAGGAAGTGTGGTTTGAGCATAAAAGTAGAAAAGACAAGTTTGTCAATGTGGTGTCTTTAAATTGTTAGCAGTTAAATCCATCTTTTATTTCTTCTAGGGCCTGGATACTAACAACTGCCTGTTTAAAAATAATAGTTCATCTTCCTTCTTTCTCCTCTGCCCCCTCCTCCTCATCTTCTCTTTCCTGTCTCTCCCCACCTCAACTTCCAAAAACATGTATGAAAGAATACTACCTTAACCAAGCTGAAGAATAGTTATTCTCAGAAAAGGCCAAGACGACTTGCTGTGTGATTGCTTCTAGGTCTCTCAGTGGTTCTCATTGTATTCGGTGCTCATTTTTCTGCAGGTGCCTTTTCATTTTGCAGAACAATTTCGGCATATAAACCTGTAAGGAGCTGAAGTTTCAAATATGCTCAGAACTCTTTATCTGTTAAGGAAAAACACCCATTTCACACCCAGAATATGATTATGATTGACCTTATACTTCCTGTATTGTTGTAAATAATTTTTTAGGCTAACTCTACTGACAGTAATGCTGTTTCTCCCCAGAATGAAGAGCCAATGTTCATTTGAATGTGTCCCATGCTTACATTGCTGTTTTATCTTTTGAACATTCCCAGCCACTGCTCCATTCTATTTCAAGTATCTCTTCTTATGTCTAGCCTTTGCAAACAGGCTTGAGAAGACTAATGTTTCACCTGAATGCACAACTTGCCATCGCAAAGAAAACCCTTACCTTTAAGCCTGCCTGATTCCCTGTTTGCTGAATCTTTCTTTATTTAGCTAGAGAATTCCCTTTGGAGTATGAGGAGTCAGTAAACTGTAACCCCAGTCGTGTTGTGAAGAGCAGGTTGTTCAGCTAGCAGGCTGGTTGGCTGGCTCTGGAGATAAGGTGACATGAGCCAAGTTCCTGATAGGGAGATGTTTCTAGCCCTGTGTGTGTGTGGTTCATTTTGTATTAACCATCGTATTTCTAAAGCATAAATTTTGGAACAAGCCTCCTTTTTATTGCACATAATCTTTACAAGGTTGGACTCCAAGCTGCAGGACTGAGATAAAAACCTCATAGTATATAAAAGAGAGGTTACTACATAAATTGTCCCCTGTGGAGGTTTGCCATATGTACTGTCTCACAGACAATATTTATGCAGGTGGCTTTGTTTTACAAAACAAAATAGGTACCCTAACCAACTTAATGAAAGACTTGCATATTTCCTCCAGCTACCTAACCATCCTTTTTATTTCTTTGTAAAAGCAGGTGACTAGTTTCCAGTAAAAGAAAATAAAATAGGTGTGTGCATGGTTATTGTTCATATCAGTGTAACAAAGCAAGTTGCATGATAGTTTCATAGAACATAGGGTCAGATTGCCCTGTAGTCTTGATTGTCCATTCTCAGATACAATTCCCTCAGGAAGGGTTCCTGTGCATTGGGAGAGAGAGAAAAAGCAGCTCATTATGCTTACAGTTACTTTTCTAGTGAAACCGTATGCCCTTCTGTCTCTTTTCCCCCACCCCAACAAACACAGTCATGCACAGTCATTTGTCTTGTTCCACACAAAGCCCATATGAACTTGCTGGTAATGATATTTGATATTTGAAGGTCCTGTTCTGTTCTTATGCACTGTCCAGTTGTTTCTGACTTATGGCAATCCTAGTAAAGCTTTTGAGATACAATACTAGATATGTTCAGGTAGTTATGTACCATCCCATCTCCACTACCCCAGTGAGACTCTGTAGCTGAGCAGATATTTGAACCCAAGTCTCCAGGGTCTTAGTCTGATACTCTGTTCATCATGATACTGCACTGCCTTTTAACCACACCTGTTTTATGTCCAACTCCAGAAGCATTTGGTTGACGGAAAGATGAAGCGGAACCTTTTCTGGGGCAGCACTAGGTTTTAGGGTTCACTCCCGGTAGAGGTTCGACTCACTCCATGCTTGATGACATTTAAGCTAACAGTGAAAACATTTTTATCCCAATTAGCTTTTAATCGTTTTTAATTTGAAGTTGAAGGTTTAAGCTGTTCGTAATGCTTTTGTTTCAGTTCAGTTATTTTTCTGTAGCATTTTGTTTTGTAAATGGCCTGATGGTCCCTTCTTGAGGCAGAAATATGAAACAGAAAGGTCTACATAGCTACAAAGATAAGGAAATAAAGCTGCCAAGGGGAGTTTAGATGACTGGCAAGGGAAAGGCTAAGCACTGCCATCTCTCCTATCCCTTCTGAGAAGCAGCACATCACTTTCCAAAGGCTGCTTTGCTGTAGTGTAAGATGCAATTTGTTCTTTAACCTTGTTGAGACAAAAATATACACAACAAATTAGTTATCAGTGTTCTAGAGTATACTGAATGCTTCTCCTTCCGTGACTTTGGCAATCTGACTTCATACTAGGCTACTTTGCTTTTTACTAGAATCCTAAGATTTAAACTTTAAATCAGAATCTGGAAGCAAAGGATTTGTTTTCAGCACTAGAAATGAGCTTACTATCCCTCGATACACAAAATTATTTTTTCCCATTCTTTCTTGCTCACCTTCTTACACAGACACACAGACACACACACACACACACTTCACCATCTCCACTTTCTTGATTTCAGCATATTAAATGTGGGTAGGGGGAATCATTTGCTGTTGCCACTTTAAAACATTTGGAATTTGAAATCAAATCACTCAGAGATCTGTGAGAAGATCTACCTCATGCCCCTCCCAACGTAGCAGTTCCTTCCTCTAATGCTGCAAAACCAAAAGAAAATGAGCATCAGCCAGAAGTCAGCTATCACTCTCTCATCCAGATGATGTCAGCCCAGTTAGCACTAGCTTTTTGAGGGAATTGCTTTTTACCAACACTCAAATTGCTCTCTGGAGTTGCTGCTACAGAGAAAAAATGCCCCTCAAAAACCGACTATTTAATATCTTTCACTGTGAGGAAGCTGGCTATATTTGGCTTGCATTAGTAACAGCACTGTAACGCTTCCAATAACTCCCACCCTCATCATGTTCTGTTACCTGCTCCTTTAAAGGAATATGTTTGCTGAAGCCTAACCAACTCCAATCAAGAGCTTGTTCTCATTGTCTTTAGGTGCACATAAAACTGTATTGATTATTTTGCAGTATTAAATCACTCCATGTATATGTCTCTTTCTGTCTATCTCTCTCTTTGTATGTGTATAAGATATAAGTGAACCACACAAACACCCTTTAAAATTAAGTAAACAGTCTTCTAGCAGCTGGGTTGGTTCTGCCCACTTCCATACTCTAGGAGCAGGAATAGGGCTGCATCTTACCAGTTGTAGTAAAGCCCTGGGTGAATGTAGTATTGCCAAATGAACCTTTTTTGGGGAAGAGCCTCCCAGGGTATCACTTTCCAAGAGTACAGACATTACCACAAGTTGCACATCACTGAGTTGTCACATGCCATCAAGCCTCTTAAGAACTATGACAACCCTATGAACCAGTGACTCCAGATAGTTCTTTAATTAACTGTGCTGCTCTGATCCATGCTAGGTTTTCCTCTTTTCCTAAAGCTTCAGCTTCTGCTAGGTTACTGTCTTTTCTACTGATTCTTATCTTCTGTTGTTATATCCAAAATATGATAGCCTTAGTTCAGTCATGTTAGCTTCTTTTGAAAGTTCAGTCTTTGTGTTCCTAGCAGTTCATGGTATCTATGAAGCTCTCCCCTAATGCTACATTTTGAATGAATCAAATTGATTTGTTTGAAATATGGTGCTACAAGAAGGCTTTGCATTTATCCTGGACTGCCAGAAAGATGGTCCTAGATCAAATCCAACCTGAACTATCTCTGGAGGCAAAAATGTTGAAACTGAGGCTATACTACATTGGGTGCATCGTGAGAAGGCAGAATTCTCTGGAAAAGACAACAATGCTGGGAAAATTGGAAGGTAGCAGAAAAAGAGGAACACCAAGTACGAGATGGGCTGACTCCCTAAATAAAGCCACAAGCATGAGTGTACAAAAGCTTTCTTCATTGTCCAGTTTCCACAATCGCACACAGCAATTAGGAATATGGTATAATTTGCCTTGGTCTCCAGTAACAATTCAGGATCTTTTTAAATTTCTTCTTAGGTACCCTTCCAAGTCTTAATCTTCGGGTTTATTCATCAAAATGCCCATTTGGATTTATGACTGAACCAAGGACTGAAACCCTTCTGCTTTATTACTTATGCAAAAGGCAAATGGCTTAACATTCAGTCATTACTAGCTAGCAATTAAT